TGCATGACATATGAGCTCGTGTTGTGAACCGTAAATGCCGTAATTGAAGTGATATTACCGCATAGAGAATACAACAAAAGGAGAGAAAGAATGTTTGTTGTGCAGTTAGAAGTCATATTGCAAATCTAAATGAGCCATACAAATTATTGCACGAGCGGATTATTGAGCTCCGTTGACTTCGCTTCGTTTGTCAATCTACAATGACAACAACAATAGCAATATTGTGCAATTGGATGAGCTTTTTAGCTTTCGAGAAATGGCTAAATGGTGTTGGTAATTTGTCACATTGAACTGCAAAAAGGAACACCTTGGGAAGCTTCAAAAGTTCAAACCATTCATGACTCGTGAAGACTGCTTCGTCCCATTTTTCTCAACGAAAGCTTTTTAGATCAAGTAAATCCGTAGGCTGACTTATGTACATTAGTTTTTCCTACTGGGCCGCCAATTAGGTGCCCAGCGACTCCAATCAACTCATTTATTGACAAGTGGCTCTCATGATACGCATTACACGGCAAGTGGCACTCGCACTCGGGTAGCACCGACGCGTCTCAAATCCAGACAGACGTCGTCTAATGTTTCACCTGAACAACAGTAATAACAACAACGAAATAATAATTGTTTGCAACAATTTAGGTTGTAATCTGACGCTGCAAATGCAAAGTCGTTGCTGCAGTTGTTGTTGGTGCATAACACAAATAACATACGACGGCATAACAATGCAAACGAAGGTGTTGACAGCCTCGGCCAGGTATTATGTTTTAATTCGTTTTAATTCTCCTCGATGTTCGTGCAATTTCAGCTCAGCGTTTTTTGTCGGCTCATTTGCTCTGCTTCAGTTTTGGCTCGAAATTTCAATCAGTCACGTACGATTCTATACCGTTATGCGTATGTGCGGTAGGTGAGCTATGTGCATTTGCGCCGACTTTGGATCGCACTGCCGAAAGCAACCGAAATCGTGTGTGTGAGTGTGTGTGGGCTTCCACTATAACGTTCGCACACGTCTATAAGGTGGAATGAAATATTTTACGAAATTTCCATATTTTTTTGCTATTAAGCGCAGCAATGTTTATCGGCTTAATTAGTGCGACGCAGGCGATTCACCCGATTTCGAGGAAAAAATGTTTTGCACGTTTGCATCTTGGCGCCGTCACTTTTCGTTGAATTTAATTTCCTTAAACACGATGCCCTTATATGTGCACATGGGGTCTTGTGACCCTTATCAAAAGTCTTGCACTATCAAAATTGCGTATATGAACATGTGTTTGTATGTAGTTCGCAGTTCTTCTGACTCCATACATCGTGCTGGTAAACCGGGTTTCAAAAAATCCACCAAAGGGGGATGGTTAAACTAATTTTATTACCGCCAAAATCTTAAAAACAATATTTTAAAATTTCGAATCGCTTTTTAACGGAAAATAAAAGAAGTTTGAATTTACACTTTTTCTTTTTTCCCCTAATTCGTGTTGCAAAAGTTGAAATAAACTCCGAAAATCAAAATTTGAAAATTTTTGTAACAAAAAAATTCGCAACCCTGCTGATATATACATATGTACGTGTATGTCCGTGCGTAGGTAGACGTGTGTGTTAGATATTTGATGGCTTATCGGGCAAGTTACAACCAATAAGAAACGATACGTCTCCGCTGATAACAGTAATTAGGAGATTAAAATAATATTGCTTTTGGAGAGACTCCGAAAAGCACTCAGATATGCAAATTATCGAAGAAATAAAATAATTGAAATGATTTGTAAAACATGTTATAGCTACTCCTTCATTGACATGAGTGATTCGAGCGGCCTCAAAAGGCTCCCTCTAATATCATGTAAAGATGATTTTTGCAACGCCAACAACAGATGTTTCTTTGTCTTCTGATTCCAGGAAAAATCGAGTATATATATACATATTTGAAACTTGCTAAACTGATACTAAATAGAGAAAATAAGCGAAAATAACGAAGGGTAGACACTTCCAAGTATATATGGTCATACATACAAACATGTTCATATACGTAGGTTCAGGCAACTATGTTATACTTTTAAGTCAAAAGTGGCGAAAAAAGCTAAATATTTCCATATTGACCCTGCATTCAATAAATATTCGCGAACAACAACCGCAACCACCCCACCATATGCCTGTAAAATAGAACTCCTCGAAAGCAAATGCTTTTGAAGTATAACAGAAATATTTCAACAAAAATTGCATACAAATAGAAATGCAAACAACACTACTGAATGCTGCTTCAATTGCTGTTGGGGCACCCTATCGGCCACACAATCGAAGTGGGTACGGGGTAGAGTGCACAGCTTCGAATGCTATTGTTAATTGTTGTTGCTATTATGCATTTCGATGATCTCGATGTATGTGACTGTCTGCTACTACATGCTACTTATGTATGATTGATTGTGCATGTGTGACTGATTGTTCATGTATGTCTGTGTGTATGTAAACACACACTCATATTTTGTGTGCGAACGAAACGCCAATAATAACCTGAAGAACAATTACATTAAGCGCTTTTATCGCTTTGTTATCTTCGACACTGCCAGATACCCTGCAAAATATGCGACAAGTCCGGGATGGGTGCGCGATTAGTCGTAATGTAGGACGTCGAGTCAAGTCTGCAAAGAGATTCTAATCGTAAAACATAGTACAAACGGGTAAGTCCATGCAAATGGTAACACTGAAGAGAAACGTAAACAAAGATTCAACTAATCTATCTCCAACTATGTATATCCTAAAGATATGTGTTGGAACTACAATAGTTCATTCTAAATTGTAACTTACAGAGAGTCATTCGAATGTACCCTCTTTAGAGATTACTCGCACAATCTTTTGGACAGTACATGCTTAAATATATTTAAAATGTATCGAGCTCTACAAACACGCCTATCCACACATTTGTAGGTGCATTTGCCTTCGACTGGCTAGGACAGAGGAGAGAAACAAGAGCACTAGAACATGGCAGGGGCGGTGGAATTCCTCAACCAGAGGGCGCTGGACCGATCCACTTATACCGGACATCCACTTGTGGATAAACAGACAACATGGGGACCTAGATTTTCATTTGACCCAAATATTTAGTGGATAGTTCCTTTAGAAGCTACCTTTTCAGATTCCACAATGACATTAGTACGAACTATCCGACGTGTACAGAGTATATAGAAGACTCTGAACATTTATTATTTTATTGCTCTCGATTTTCGAATACAAGGAAAAAAACTAGAAACCACACTTGGTGGTAGTTTTAGTGCCAATCGACTGATAAATGCAAAGCTGTCAGCGAAGCGTCAGGATGATGTCATTATGAAGACAAAAATGAGAATTTTTCAACAGACTAGGCATTCCTCAGTCCGCGCAATAGAGGAGACTTAAATATCTTGTCTCCCGGTGGTTCCGTGGGAGAGTCTTGAGTTGGGAGTAGGTTAGGCATAACGGATTAAAGTTCCACACTCCGGCTTTCGGTGCTTCCCCCTACCATAAAAAAGGAACTTATCGCTGAACCGAACATTTGGACTTATACTATTATACCCGTCGCCTAGGACTAGATGCTCGTGTAACCTCGGTCCCTTTAACCTCATTTAAACACATTTTCCCACAGTAGAGCTGACCCTTTGCTTTCTTACAGGGTGCCACATATGTTTTTATATGTGCTAAGCCTTATATGTTTGTATGTATGTGTTGAGATGCGCGTGTGCGGAATTTGTCAAATGGCAGCGTTGCTTAGTTTGAATCCTTGCATGCAAGGCAAACCAATCGATCAGCTGGCCAAGCTGTACTCGTACGTTCTATATATGTATATGTGTGTGTACGATTGTTCTCATACGAGTTTGTATGTATACACATAAAGCAGGGGGCGATAAAAGCCAAAGTTGACAGACATTTTGATTTACTTGGACAGGCAAGACAGACAGTTAGTCGGCCAATAAATCAACTCAGATACAGTAAGTGGGAAGCGCACTGCGTCACACTTGTGTTTATAAGCGTGTTTAAGTATGTGTGCACAATAGTCCTAGCAGCCGCTTATGTGTGAAGAACATGGTCGAACTGCACTGTCCAATGGCATGGGAATTATACAAACAGCAGCTATTGAACGGTTTTTTTGTGTCATTATATGAATGCATGTGGTGGTAGTTGTCGAATAGCCGCCCAAGCACTTAAGCGTACAAGCGTCAGTCTGCAGTGTATCTTTGTGAAATTTATTGGGCGCCGAGCGGAATCGGTTGAGAGGGTCCCGGTTGGGGTAGGATAGCAATCGTAATTTAGACTTGCGTTTATTGACCTGACTGTTAACGGCGGAGCTGCTTAAAGCAGTAACAAATTACATTTATTAATCTATAGAGTTTTGGGAAATCTATAGAGATGCCTACACTACACCACTTCGTTGGCGAATTGTCTCTAAAGCTTCACTATTTCTCCCTCTGCTCATAATTATTAGTACAAACAGAATCAAATTAATTTGTTCTCTTTTTCCGCGCTCCAACTCAAGTGCAGTTCCTCCAGCGAAAGCGCGCAAGCCCAATTGTTAAGCACGTTCCGCCGCACTGCAGCTCTGCTGCTTTCCTGACCGTACCCACCATCAGCACTAAATATATCTGAATATGTAAAAGTGTAAGTAGCGCGCCACAAATGGAAGCGTGTCTGAGCACCCGCCGAGCCATTTATAAATAATGGTCAGCCATGTCGGCTTTTCGCTATGATTTAGCTCCAGATGCTGCTAAGTAGCGGACGTACGCCGACTACTTAAGTGATGCACCTATAGTGCGCACAAATTCGCTTCCGTACACACATAAGTACAAAGGGAAAAGCATACATATGAGCCAGTGCGTGTTCGTGAGTTTTCAATTGAAATTGATGTAATTGTGTGGGTGGCTACTTCTTCGAGCACCTACACATTGGATTTACATACGATTCTTCGAGGAGTCTGTAACATACTTTGTCCCAGCTCTCGCTTCTGCAAACTAAAAAGGCATTTACTAAATCTTGACATTTTTTGCTTTCAGAGCGGAAAACATGTCGACCGATTCTAAGCAGCGAATTCAGGTGCCCGAGGCGTTGAGAGAGGTGCTCTTGGAGTTTTCAATAGCGTATCTGCTGGAACAGCCCGGAGACGTGGTCGATTATGCAGTACAGTATTTCAATAAATTGCAATCGAATCGCCAGGCAGCTGCAAATTTCTATCGCCCAGATTCCCCAGAGAGTAGCATCATATCACAGGAAGAAGGTAAGCGCCATACAATAGTTTACAAAATCTAAGAAGGAGAAATTAATAAATCAAAAATGCAATCGCAGGTCGGCAGTCGATACGAGGAATATATATTGAAAGATTTAAAGTAAGATTCCTCTTAAATGTGGAGCGGGACTTAAAGTGATATACATCAAATTGGAGCTACTTTAACAGGGTCCGGCTTCACAATGTCTAACTACGTCTGCATTTATTCGTAACTTAACCGACAAATAGCAAAATAACCTCAAAATCTCTAACAGTATGTTCATCGTTTCCACACTCCACTCACCCAGGCTGCCACTTGAACTTTCATTCTCTTATTTTCGACAATACATATTTTCATGCTTTAAGGATGAACTAGTTCTGTCCGGAATAACCAATGGACCAACTATCGTCATAGTTTCATGGGACTCTCTTCCAAGTTTTAATTGCACTACTCATACCATACCGCTTACGCGGTTATACCCGACTTTACAATAGCGCGCCAATCGTTTTTCCTCTCCGCTGATTGCCGCCAATTGGAGATTCCAAGTGTAGCCAGATCTATCTCCACCTGATCTTTCAAACGAAGTGGAGTTCTACTCCTCTGCTTCTGCGGCGGGTACTGAGTCGAATATTTTCAGAGCTAGAGCGTTTTCATCCATTCGAACGACATGATCAAACCAGCGTAGCCGTTGTCTCTTAGTTCGATGAACATTGACATAATGTCGTCGTATAACTCGTACAGCTCATCGTTCCATCGAATGCGATATTCGCCGTTGCCAATGCACAAAGAACCATAAATCTTCCGCAGAACCTTTCTCTCGAAAGCTCGTAACGTGACTCATCCATTCGGACGACATGATCTAACCAGCGTAGCCGTTGTCTCTTAGTTCGCTGAACATTGACATAATGTCGTCGTATAACTCGTACAGCTCATCGTTCCATCGAATGCGATATTCGCCGTTGCCAATGCGCAAAGGACCATGAATCTTCCGCAGAACCTTTCTCTCGAAAGCTCGTAACGTGACTCATCAGATGTTGGGAAATATCGTAACGTCGTAACTACGCACATACTCATGTATCAATATCAACGTGTATATATCTACTCACGTTTCGTTGCGGCACAATTTACGTGCGTGAACAAAATTTCGAACGGTCCTTCTGCCCCTCGGCTTTTGAATGTCGTGAATGTCATGGCCTTCGCACGGATATTGTGGCATTTCATTATGTTTCCATTTGCTTGGCTTTTTGGCATTTTTGGTAACCGGTGTTTTGCATGTCATGTGTTATAGGTGTGGTTTCGGGGAATATATTCACTTTCATGCAAATGTTTTGGATTTTTTCTCGCGACATTCGGCTCAACTTAATTAAAATGGAGAACGGCTGTTTCGAAGGACACCAATCAACATAAACTTTTCACACATCTTTAGTTGTGCCGTTATATAAATGCATACTGTATAGTATATATCTATATATATAAATTGTCCACGTACATTAAAGTTGTGAAATGACTATGCTCATATTAAAAATTTGTTACGCCTTCTTACCAAACTGCATGCACTATTACCCGCATGAACGCACCTCCACTTCGCTGTACCCCCACATGCCTTGTCTCGCTTCGACGGGTCAAGTGGCTTTTATTAGGTTAGTTCGTTCAGATTATGGACGCTTCTCATTATGTGTCAGCAACTTTCTACATGCTCACATTATTATTACTTTTATCGTTGTTGTTGTTGTTTTAGTATCCTACGTGCAGTCTTTGTTCGCAACATTCTAAAAGTGTGTTTGTTTTGTTGTCTTTACGCTCGATCGAACTTGGTTAAAAGCGCTTCAGTCAAGTATTTGACCCGCTTTGCTCCGACTTTGGCCACTTCACTCTGCTTGCCACAATTTGCGCAGAGATTAATCAGCTTCGCCCTGCTGCCGCCGTCGTACCGTCAGTTTATTTTTGCTGCTGCAGCTGTCAGCATTGTGGCCAACATCGCTTCACTAACGGTTCGGTGCTGCGTTGTGCGAACAACTTGCCTCATTAAGTAACTATTAATTATTTGCTCATTCGCCGTGTCGGTATATGAGCCAGGTGGTGCTGCCATCCGAAACCCAAGCCTTGCCAATCACCTCAATAGCTGCTTTGTGACCATTTTCATGAATTTCTGTTTATCGCTTGTTATTAATATTTTGTTATTGCTTACTGAAATGTGAAAAGATTTTTTAAGAGAGCGAAGAACGCATAACAAACACTAGCTATGCGCGTAAATAATGATTTTGCCTAACATAGTCGATAGGTCTCCAAATGGGGCGCTACCATAGATCCGCCGAGAGTTATAGTTGGTAAGTTGAATTCTCGACAACTTGACAGGTTCACATCTAAGAAAACAGACACCAAGCTAATCTGAGTTTAGAGTGGGGTAGGTAAGAGACAGCCAAGCGGGGTCCGTTTACACAATCAAAGTGTATAATCGTTTCTCTCTTTCTTTCGCGATGAGCTTTTGATAAAAACTGCTCTAAATAGAGGCTAGCATAGATCCAAAATAGAGGCGCGGTAACATGGCTATATAGATTCGAATCATGCTGGAATTTATGTATAAACGCAAAGCTCTTGCCAACGTCGATGCCCGAAGCTTTCGCTGCTCGAAGCATTTCAATGATTTGTGCTCGCATAAACGGTATGATGACTGTGGTCCGATAAACTGAGATGTTGGGGCTTGTGGCAACGCTTCCGTGTGTGCAAACAGTGGCTTACAATCATGATGAGATGTCCTCTGATCGCAAAGCTTCATTCATTGTAGTTAAGTTTATTTCGCTTGATGAGCCTTGTGTAGCACCTTAAGAGCGTTTAGAAGAATGCATAAATGCACACAGTACACACACTTTCTTAACTACACGTACACATGGGCATGGGCGAGTGCTGGGCCACCTATAAATATTGGTCGCCGCCAGTCAATCATGCGAGCATTATCTACATACATATGTTCTCTATGTAGATAATTGCATAGTTAATGCTTCAGCCCTCATTGTAAGCCGCCTTTTTTAGCGCATAGCTTCTGGCTTTGTTCTAACTCATACATCGAATTCTTTTCCGTTTATAAGAAATAGCTTCGCGTTTTATTAGCGACTCCTCGAATCGCTGCTTCACATGTTTGGCTGTGCATGTGAGTATGTGTGTAGGGGATAAGCTTTTGTCGGCCATTGACAACGTTTTAATACGATTTACTCGAGTGCGCTGTTGCCTCTCGATGGCTCCGTCGCTTTCCCTCTCATATCCTACCTTCGCTTAATAGCTAACTGGTCCTCCGAGGCAATGAGTGAAAGCGATGAACAATATTTGTTGTTTTACTGGTTTGATTGCTTTGTATATTTGCATTGCCACTAGAACTATATTTTTTTCCTCGGCTTGTTTCTTTTTATTCACCAGTGTGTGAGCGCTATCTTAACCTGAAGGGTGCCTCATTAAGTAGGTACGGCTATTTCTATTACTATAACCAGGTATATGGATTCTTAAAACTTTTATTAAACTGGAGTTAACGATCATTGTTCAGAAAATTAGTTATTGTTTCCTTTTTGGGTTTACTCGTTGGTTTATACAGAAAATCATATAATTTTCAATTTTAAAGCAGCTACAGCCAATCACCCTTTATTGCATCCATTCACTTCTTGTGTTTTGGTGTTTGTAAGAGCTTTATGCTTCTGGATATGTTGACACGTACGTCTCTTCAACTTGTTGGATTCTGTAATTTCAGTCGAAACCAATGTTCTGTGAAGGGGTGGCCGCGGTCTACCGTTGTGTATTTTAAGCCGCTTCATTGACTAGCTCCATGTGTTTCCCTCTTTCCACTCCAATGCACTCATACACGCATACATACAAGCTCCCTCCCAAACATACATTTATATACAAGTAAGTTCGCTCAGATGGCGGCGAGGTCCAACCGCAGCCGCAGTCGTTCGACGTCCAGCGTAGCTGTCGGTTCGGCTTTGGAAACACTTATGAAAATTTAACTCATCGTGCAGTGCTCGTGGCGTTTCAAGCTTTCCGTTCGCGACGCTATTGTTGAAGGACGTGTTGCTAATTAATTGCGCTCCACATTGGTCCTCGCGCGCGCCTTTGTCGTTTAATTATCGAAACTGTGCAAAGCTCGACTCATCACTTTGGATTATTCCGTCGCTACCACACCTTAACCGTTATTTGCATAAAACGACAGATTAGGGGGGAGCTTGTTAGTGACAGCACTTCTCCTCTGATAAGAAAAAGACTGGCACAGTCCGAATTTCGTTAAAACAATAAAAAACAAAATTTTACAAAAATTTGCATATCTCAAGGCGCGAGAGCGGACGCCCGCGCAAAGTGTAGACAAAATTTATCGCTGCTTGTTGTGACCCCGTTAACGCGTTTATACATCGCGAGTAGACAAGAGTGAGCACCTGTTACGCCTCAAGTGCAAATTATCGCAGTGCCCGTTTTGGTGGAATTCCCCAAGGCGTTGGGGCGAATTTACTGTGCGAATTTCGCGTACTTCGCCCACAAAAGTGACGAGAACTCGCTGTCATCGTTGGTGTTGCTGCTGGTGGCACTTGGCGGAATATTTTAGGTTTTATTTCGTTTCTTTTGCCCTGCGCCCACATTCGCTTGTCGTTCAAATTAAAGCAATGCTTAATTAACCCAGAAAAGCACAAGCACGGAGCATAAAAATTGTCATTAAACGCGGCACAACAAAGGCGCGCCCAGCTTTTTATGTTTTTGGCCGAAAATTATGGCACACACACGCACACCTTTCGGCGGTTCTGCGAAGAATATTATCTTTTCCTTCATCCAACACAAACACCCGCCTTCACAATCTTCTGTGTGTCATCCTGCACACTTCGATGTTTGATAATTTTTCCACATCGCCTACTTGGATTCTGGACTTCAATTACGTTTAGTTGCATATAGTCTTCTTGAGCTCAGAAAACTCTCTAGCTGCACTGCGCGCTACGATAAAGTGACTTTTTCCAGTTCGTGCTACAGAAGCGGTCATGTC